AGGAGTGTTTGGGAAAGACGTGAAAACAAAAAATTGTTAATCCGTGGTTTAGTATAGGGAATCGTGAAAACAGAGAAGGGAGAGCAAGGGGAAGAGGGATAAAACAGGAAGGGCGAGGTCACACACACACTTAGGTCAAAGGGTCACGAGAAGCGTCATGGGTTAACAACCAGNGTTAATGGGCCAGCTTGAAATGATACTAAAACAGCTTGAAATGCTACCCCGACATGTTGAGTTTATATTCGGACAACTTGAATTGCAAACGATAGAGTGAGCGTCTTTTGTGCAAACTTCATTCAACCTTGCCCGTCGGTTTTCTGCCGCATTTGAACAGTGCACTCTTTATAACTACGGTGCTAGTAAAATTGGTCTACCTAAAACCACTCATATCTTTACAGCTCGGCAAACAAGTACACACGTATTCTCTTCTCTTTGGTCATTGGTATACAGATGCAGAATCTGACTCTTTCAACCGCATTTTTCTGGACTCCATATGAGCCCGAAAACGATAATGCATCATATGACTAGTTTAAAAGGGATAATCGTGTCCTAGCTAATAATTATTTTCAACAAAGTTCAGGCAAAAACAAAGTTTGTGTCGGTTGCTCTCTCCCGCTATTTAGAGGGTGTTGTGGATATGAGTTGTGAAGCTGATCTCTTCTCGAATGAAAGCAACAACTACTGACAATATTCGTTCGAAATGGGAAATTTGTTTTGTTTTTATGGTGAATTTCGTCTTGTAATGAGCAAATAAAACGTGAACTGAAAAGCTAGGAAGCCATGGACACCTGTTTCGACCGCGTTCAGTCTCATTAATGGTACGAAACCATCGACCCAAATGGGAATCTCGCTCGAGACTTCACACTCTCAGCCACCGAACAGCTAATCGAACGGTTTTTCATTTTCCATTTACACGATATAGCACAACCCATCCTTGCGAGCTTAATGCAGGCATCGCACCTTGCGTATCTCAGCACTAGCCTCCCGGGGTTATGAATCGGTTGGAAACATTCCAACCCGATTACAGGTTATATGGGAGAAATGAAGGATTTGGTTTGTTTGTATGTTGAATTCATACTGTTCACTATCGCGTGTTGAACACACTTGAAGGCATGCCCAGTAAAAGTGTTAATTGTATGAAACCCTCTATTAGGTTAAACGCAGTAGTAGTTGAGGAAACGGAACTGTGAACAACATCAATACACGGAAAAAGAATCTACCTAACATCGGTTAGAAAAATCCTATGTCAAATGCGGCAAAGAAAAAAAGCGGATAGTGAGAAATGACTGCTTTATTTTGTGTAAAAAATAGATATTCTGAAAGAAGTAGTAATAATCAGTTGATGGTCACGTTTAAAACGACCAGGTCAAACAAAAAAGTTCACAGACAGGGTTAATTGAGGTAAAACCCTCTTTGACTTGCAGCCGCTAACAGATTTTTCTTCAATTCCGCGTTGGTTCGATATTCCGGTAGCTTCAAGTAATGCATGCATGTATTCACACTGGGAAACGGTCCACAAGTCGCTCCATCTTTTTTGGCCACCTTACAAACAAACCAGAAGTTGCAGCAATATTTACCATGTTGGCACTGTTTAGGTAAGAACATGAGTTCATGCGAAATGATACATTGGTTATTACATTCAAATCAACTTTGATTGTTGCCTGGGCCTTGGCAACCTGTCGGTGTTCGGCCCAAATGCAAATCGTGGAACATGTTATTTTATAAAGATTATTGTACAATCATTTGTTTAGCACACAGTCTGACCTCAGACGGGTGTGAATTTTGATACTGTATAATGTATGTTGCTCAGCGTAAAATTTCCAACCACAGAATACTATCAACTGAGTGTTTAACAACATTCATTCCCGTGATAAAACATGCTTACAGTGTCCACTGAATCCGTCACGATGGGGCACGACTACTATGTGTACTGCATTATTTATACCCGAGGTATATGTGAGCGGCTTTTGCCTGTTTCACGGTTGAATATCCAATACCTATGGATGCCCCGTATGAAATTTACGCGACAGATCACATATTTGTTACGTGACCGTAAACCCAACCCACAGTAGAGTCGATGGAGCAGAACGGGATATAGTGAAATTTGAACAGAAAAAACCAAGCGCCATATTGCACGATTCATCTCCTGGATGGTTTCGATGCCTCTCACCATGATGCACACTACAGAAAACGTAATGCTCATGCAGAGCTTTAGCGCGGTAATAGAGTAAAATACATTAAAACAGACAATTCATCTAACTTTTTGTTGCTATTGCACTTTTTCGGTATGCACCCACTTTGCGATGCAGCAAAATCGTCCTGGATATAAATCGTGCAGTATGATAAAACTCACCCCCAAGAACCAGTTTAACGACGAACCGAGTCGAACACAATGAGAACAAGGGACAAAAATGGTCAATGGAAAAGAACAAATACATAAATGAACGGATACAAACAGAAGACTGCCACTTCACAAGCACTAGTGATGTCACCTCGGCTGGTGAAGAAACGTTTGTAAACAAATTGCCAAGCCCGGCGAACAGGCAAAATACAGAAAAACATTTAAAAGTAGGAAATCGCATTCCAGTGGTTACCTTAAGTTTCGGATAGAGATTGCGAATTCCACCGGGTGGAAGAGTTGGACAACCCGTGACAAAACGAAGAAAAGCTCGTCGCTCGATTGTATCA